AAAGTAATCAATAAGATACATGTGGCACAGAGAGCAATGGTGAGGCCAATGTTGAATATATTCATCAAACACACAGAGTTTCAAAGCAGATAAAATGGTGTTACCGATGCAGTTTAAAGAATTACAACGCTGAAATGGAACTGGGAAGGATATTTTACCGGAGTGTGAGGGGGAAGATGGACCAAGAAAATTTTAGAATGGAGACATAGACACAATGGTTATCGTCAACGAATGCGTCCTAAAACGAGGTGGTCAGAAGACATCAAGCTTATCTAAAAAACTGGATTCAGGGTATTCAAGATAGGATGCAATGGAATTATTTACGGAAGGCCTATGTTCAGTAGGGGACTCAAAACAGCTAATGATGATAAAGAGTTAATGTGATTAGTCTGTTTTAGATTATTTCCAAGCTTTTTCACAATTAGTGTACGTTGATAAATATATAAAATCATTTTTCGCTACATTTACAAATTTCTTACCTGCTGAATCAATGAATTTCTGAGAAATAGCCTTCACTGAGTTCTGTCGTTTGAAATTTGACGTTCTGTTGCCTTCTGCTACAGAATCTTCTATTTGTTTGGTCTAAAAGCAATAAATTAATTAATATTGTAAAATACTCAACATAGTTTTCGAAACAGCATTTGTACCAACGACAATGTTTTCATTATAAAACAGATTATCGAAAAACGAAGATAATGTGACTAGAAACGCATATTGCATTTAAGACTGTCAAAAAGCCTTCGACCGGATCAACAGAGGCAGAGGAAGTGTGGAGAGTTGTGTTGGAATGTATGGATTGGGAGAACGAAATGAGCGTGGTGAAAGACTAATTCAGATGTGCCAAACAAAAAAACTGGTAGTTATGAATACAATGTTTAAATTACCAAATCGACGGCTCTACACGTGGAAAGCTCCTGGAGACAATAATAAAGATAGAATTATAAGAAATCAGATAGATTACATCTTGATAAGGAACAGGTAAAAAAACTCTATTACAATAATCTGTCCTATATGTTGTTCTAGACATTCTATCCCGTTGAAGTTGAGCAACAGCGGCTTTTATTTTTTTCAAAATTTTATATTTTTTCACTTAAATCCTGTTCTGTTAGCCACTCAACATTATTGCCATAACATTCATCGAATTTTCGTTCTTGTCGTATAGGCTTTTCTTTTTCTTGCACATTCCATCTAATACTATTCTTTGTTGTTGTTATAAAGGCCTGTGCCATTGTGTAAAATTATAATGATCAATTAAAATATTAGAAAAATCGATCGAAAATTCGATGAATGTTATGGTAAAAATGTTGAGTGGCTAACAGAACAGGATTTAAGTGAAAAAACTCTATTACAGTAGTGAAGACTTACCCTGGAGCAAATGTAAACTCGGACCACAACCCAGTAGTAGCAAATATGAATGTAAGATTGAGAAAACCATTAATGAAAAGATCTAGACCACAAATATGTATTGATAAACTAAGAGAACCAAATACATACCAAGAAATTCGAAATAAAATAAATCAGAGTATCCAAGAAATAAAACAAAAAAATAAGAACACTACAGATATTGAAACAAAATGGAAGAATATAAAGAACACAATAGAGACTGTGGGACGGGAAACATTAACATTTACAATAGCTGCAAACAAGAATGGATGACACAAGAAATTCTCGAAAAGATGGACGAAAGAAGAATACATAAAAACAAAGATAAAATTAAATATCAAGAAATTAATAAACAAATAAAACAGAAAATAGAACAAGCTAAGGAAACATGGATGTCCATTAAATGTCAAGGAATTGAGGAAAGTGAAGAAAGGTATGACACTTTCAACACCCATAAGAAGGTTAAAGAAATGATTTCAGGAAATCGTAACAAACCAATCGGGAGATTAACAAATGCAGATGGTACCACTATAAATGAAACGCAAGCCAATTACGTAGATGGACAGAATACATTGAACACCTATTTTATGACCAAAAAGTAGAACAATTAGAAGTTGACGGAGAAACCACGGAACCAGAACTAATGAAAGAGGAAGTTATTTATGCCATAAAACACACAAAAGGTAGAAAAGCTCCAGGACCTGATAAAATACCAATTGAACTATTGAAGATAATTGTCGAAGATAATATTGATGTGTTGGTAGACCCTTTTAACTCCATATACAAGACGGGACACATACCCAAAGAATGACTTCTCGCAACTTTTGTAACGATTAAAAAAATCACAAATGCTAAAGATTGCAATGACTATCGGATAATTGCATTATTGAGCCACACATTGAAAATCTTCCTTAAAATCTTACATAACAAAATCCACATGAAATTAGAACAAGAAATAAGTGATTCGCAGATGGGTTTTAGAAAGGGTCTAGGAACTAGAGAAGCATTATTCGGAGTTAATGTTCTGACACAGCGATGTCTGGATATGAATCAGGATATATATGCTTGCTTCATAGATTTTAAAAACCTTTTGACAGAGTTTAACATAAAATACTTTTAAATCATAGGTAGAAGTCATAGATAAAAGACCAAAAACATAGATAGTAGAGATCTACAGATTATATCGAATCTGTATCAAAATCAGAAAGCAAGAACAAGAGTAGAAGGAGAACTGACAGATGAAGTAAGTATACTTAGAGGAGTTTGACAAGGGTGCATACTTTCACCACTCTTATTATGCCAGTTTTTTGTTCAGTTGTCAGAAATGTCAGTTTTTTGTATGTATCAATAAATAATCTTAATAAATAGTTTGGAGATATCCTTATGTGTACGATTATTGTAATTATTAAACCTCTTAACTTATTTTCGTCTAGTAATTTTATCACAGATTGCATGCAAATCCCATTTAACTTTAACAAGAATTTAAATTCTACTCTTCAATGACGTCATGCGCGAACACGATCGATTTTGTGCTACGGGAAGATCCTATCATGTTAGTTATTGTACCGTGGTACGGACTGCAAATGAATCTCAAGAAAACGAAATCAATGATATTCTCAAAATACCACAAAATGTAGATAACCTGATCATCAATAATACAACGATCGAAAGAGTAACATATAAATATTTAGGAACGTGGCTAACCGAAGATGGAGATCAAACAAAAGAAATCAGATCTAGAATAGAAATGGCAAGAAACACGTTCATAATATTGAAGAACTTATTTTGCAACCGTAAACCTTAATCTAGAGATCCGCACAAGAATGCTACGTTGTTAAGTTTTTTCTACTTTACTATACCGCATGGAAGCGTGGACAATAAAACAGTCTGAAATCAAAAAATTAAACTCTTTTGAGATGTTGTGCTACAGGAGGATCCACAGAATATCGTGGACTGAAAAAGTAACTAATTTATGCCTGGTTGCACCAACATATCTTAAGCTTAAGACGTGCCTTAGGTAGGACTCAGCTCAGACTGATCGACCGACCACGACCAAACCGTCCGACGGCGCATCAACCAAATTTTGTATTTTTACTTTTAAGAATATAAAGAATATTTTAGAATCAAAAATTATGGTGCAACGTAAGTGAGAGTTAAGGCAGCCCTAGCTATAAGCAGAGCTTGGCTAAGCTGGAGCTTAAGATCTATTGGTGCAACCAGGCAATAGAGGTGTCAACAAAGAATGAAGAAAGAATGTGAAGTGAAAAACTGTTAAAATTAGAAAGTTTCAATATCTGGGTCATATAATAGAGAGTTATAAAGTGAAAGAGTGAGAATACGGCAACGTTATTTTGACAGCGGAGCATGCGCAGTATGAAATGTGAATAACGTAAATGATTTTAACGTTTACGGGCTCCGTTACCGTACGTCGAATAACGGGTTTGATATACGGTAACGTTAGCAGCGAATCGCATCAATTCGTCAAGACTCGGAACTCGGAGATTAAAGCCTCTGTTCTGTAATTTTATTTCTGTTCATTAGTTAACATGTGTTTTCCGTTTTCTTGGTTAAGCATCTGCGAGAGAAATAAAACATTTTATTATATTTCATTATATTTATCAAATATAAACACGGAAATAATAAATAAGACAAAAAAGGCTGCGTTTTACAAGCACTGATAACCTTTTACTAGTAAAAGAAGTGCGAGGAGTCAACCCTCTGGAATGCCCTGTTTTTCAAACCGAAAATATGAAAAAATGTTTGGCTTGCTCAGGCTCTAAGCTATCAAAATTGAACACAGAATGTACATTTTGTATTTTATTATTTAAAATATGATTTTATGTTGATGTTTACAAGATGATTTAGTATTAAATCTTCTATAACTTTGTCATTTGCTTCAACTAATATTGCTTGTTCTAAAATGTTTCCATATTTCTGTAGAAAAAAATTGAAACGCAAAATGTACAAAATAAGACAAAAAATATTACCTTTGATGAAAGAAAACATAAAAAAAATTAATTATTTTGCTGTCACATACGACATTTGTCTGACAGTTGCCAACTATTAACGTGAAGCACCAATTCCACCATTTGATAACTCTAAAATTACATATCCGTTAAAACTTTATACCGTAAAAAATAGCGTTTACGTGTCAAAATAACGGAAGGATAAAATTTTACTTGATAACTCTCTAATGAGGGCGAGAAGTACGTATTACTTTAGGTTAATTATGCAAGGGAAGTACAAGGAAGGAGAAACCCAGGACGACGCGAAATATCCTGGCTAAGAAATTTGAGAGGGTGGTTCGGTTGCAGCTCATTACAATTATTCAGAAGCGCGGCCAATAAAATGAAAATAGCGATGATGATTTCCAACCTTCGATAGGAGAAGGAACCTAAAGAAGAAGAAGGGTCGACAAACTATTTGAAATTATGTACAAAGACTACGCCCAATACACCTATCTATAGCTATCAAGCTAGTAATTACATAAATAGAAATATCACTATTCAAATAAAGCAAAATCAGTATAAATAAACCAAGGACTAAAACACGGTTATAGAGTGTCACCACCGCTTAAAAGAATAATTTAGGCATTCAACTTAATGTGATAAACTTACCGTACGTTTATTTGTTAGTGTCTCTAACGAAGGTGAATCTTCGTATCCGAATTTCTGAGTAGTTGTTACACTTGTTACTAGGTTGTTATTTTGAATTTGTTCCTCGGTACTTAAATCTCTCGGGTCGGTAGAATAATTCGTTACGCTTATTTGCCCCACGGGTTCCTGGCCGTTTTCTGAATAGTATTCACTTGTGATAAAGGTGCCTTGAACTGAAATAGAGATTAAAAGTTTGTACTTATGTTAGCCAACATTTGAGAAATTTCTGTTTTATATATAAATTCGACAAAATTTCTATAATATACACTATAAAAGTATTATCTCACCTTTGGTTGTGCCGTTGTTAGTTTGTCTCAACGCCTTTAGTCCAAATAAGGGAGTCCCATTTTCATCAGTAGGTCCAACACCGTAACTAGAAGTAATCAAATCAGTAGGTTCATATTCACTGGACTTAACAATCTTTTCTTCTTTAACAGTCTTTTTGCTAGTAGTTCGTACTTGTTCGTTTGTTGACGAACCCGTAACTTTCTTTAGATTTCTGTTGGTGATCCACTCGGGCTTTTTTTCCTCTACTTTCTTTTGCTGTACTTCAGTTTTCTTTAGGATGGAGTATCCACTTTTAGGAGTTTTCTTGTCTGGACTAGATTGACTTGGTTCCTTCTTTTGAGGTATGTTTCTTTCTGGACTTGTAGTTTTGGTGTTAGGGTACTTATTTCCGTTGATGTTCTTCTTACTTTTTCAGTGCTTGAGGTAGTTTCAACTAGGGAAACTCTTTCTGGACTAAACTTTCGTAGCTCCTCTGTTTTTCTACTAATTTGCTTTGTTGTGGGTACGTCACAGCTACTTTTAAGCCTATAGTTGGTTTGAACAGTAGTTTGTGTGCGAGTTGGACTAGGTTGTCTTTGAGGAGACTGTCTTTCTGGACTATATCTTTCTCCAGGTTTTCTTACTATTTCTCTTGGAGTTGATGTTCGGATGGTTGTATTAGTTGTTGTTGTTGTAGTTTTTATCAGATTATTTTCATTAAATGGTTTGGTTGGACTCGATGTTCGTTGAGGACTTTGTCTTTTTACTTCTCTAGAACTTATTTGTTCGTCTGGTCTGTAAAATTGATTCTTTGGTTGCCTAGTTGGACTTGGTGTTCTTTGAGGACTACGGGTTCTAGTCTCTATAGTTCGATCTGTGGATGATTTACGTTTTTCGTTGTAGCTTGAATGATACTCAACCTTTTGAGTAATTGTTTCTGAACGGTCTTTCCTAATCTTTGATTGTTTTCTTTCTTGTATATATATCGTTAGTCTATTTTCTGTTATAAGTTTCTTGATCAATTTAATTTGGATTCTTATTACTCTGCGAATCTCGTAACTGGTAATTCTTTGGAGCTAAAAAACAAGATATTAAAAAAAGTATATTTAGATTGTTCAATTACAATATCCATTTAACGTTCAAGAGTACAAAAACTCTAATGAACTCTTAGGTAAAGAAGTTAGGTAGTATCTTTCCCTCTCTCTATCTCCCTCACTCTATCTCTTTCTCTTATCTCAAATACAGCAATTGTTTCTATTCTGTCTGTATCAATATTCACATTGTTTAATTTTATTATGAATTTAACGTCAGGCGTTCAGAAACTCATAGAAACGTACAAAACTCACTGAGCTCTCAGATAAAAATGTCATTATCGTTTTTATCTCTCACTTTTTTCGCTTTCTCTCATCTCAAACATAGCAACTGCTTATATTCTCTCTACATTAATGTCCACATTATTCCGCTACAATATACATTTAACATGAAGCGTTTAGAAACTCTAACATACAACAATAAGTGAACTCACAGCTAAAGAGTTCGGTATCGTTTTCTGTCTAACTCTATCTCATTTTCTCAATTTAAATAACGCAATTGGTTCTTTTCTCTTTATATCAATGTTAACATTATTTAATTGCAATATGCATTTAATGTTAACTTCATCAACGTTTAGAAATATACAAAACTCAGATATCTCAAGTAAAGAAGCCTCTACCAATTCTTTTCTCTTTCTCATGTCAAATATCGCAATTATTTCTATTCGCTCTCTAGAAAACTCAGTAAACTCTCAAATAAAAAGTCAGTATCGTTTCTTTCTTTATTTCTTAATTTCTTTCTCTCTCTCTCTCTTTCTCTCTCTCTCATCTTTCTCTCTCTGTCTTTCCCTCTCTCTCATTCTCTCTCTCTTTTTCTCTCTCTCCTCTCTGTTTCCTCCTATAATATACACACACAATGTAGTGAGATTTTAAATCCACTCACATTGTATAGTTGTATATAATTTTTAACTACAATTGTTTGTTTTAGTCATTTCACTCATCAAAAGTCATTTTAACAAGATAATATGTGTTTGGTACTTACCAGTTCCTCCAAAACTTCTATTTCAAAAATATCTTCGATTTCTTCCTCAGTTATATTTTCCACATTACTGGTTTTTCTTTCTGTAGACACTTTAGTGCTAGTAGTTTTTGTAACGGGCTTGTCAGGATGCACTTTCTTCAATGTAACACCAAATTTATTTGGACTATCAGGTTTTGAGCCCGTGATAAGTTTGTCTTTGTGGTGGACGTTTCTTTCTAACGGGAGCATATAATGGGGAACGTCACTCGCTTCGGAACGAACGTCAGGTGAAGTGTGCCTTGGACTATCTCCGCCAGGTGATTTAGATCTCGATCTGCTAGTTCTAACGTCTCTATCTAGAGGTAACATATAATGAGGAATATCGCCAGATTCAGGTGACTTGTGTCTGGGAGTATCCCTCTCTGGCGATTTGGGTCTAGGTGTACTATGCGTATGCTTTTTATCTAACGGTAACCTGTAATGTGGTATTTCTCCAGTTTCATTTCTAATATTTGGAGAGCAAGATCTTAAGCTCTCTCTATCAGGCGAATTCGATCTGGGGGTGTGAGTTTTAGGTCTGTGTAAAGGTGACATATAATGTGGTGTGCTATTTGTGACGTATTGTTTATGCCTGGGAATATCAAAGTCTCTATCTGCCTCATTGGGCGTGTGGCTTCTATCTAAAGGTAACATATAATGAGGGACTTCTCCAGTTTCATGTCGAACATTGGGAGAAGAAGATCTTAAGCTTTCTCTGTCTGGAGATTTGGATCTAGGTATATGAGTCTTAGGATTTTCTAATGGTAACATATAGTGAGGAGTAACACCAGGTTCTGTCCTCGTAAGATGTTGTTTATGTCTTGGAACTTCTCTGTCTGGTTCAGTTGGTATGTAACTTCTATCTAAAGGTGACATATAGTGGGAACTTCTCCGCTTTCATACCTATCTTTGGGAGAAATGGATCTAAAGCTTTCTCTACCAGGAGACTTAGATCTTGGAGTATGAGTCTGTGGTTTGTGCAAAGGTGACATATAATGAGGAGTATCTCCAGGCGCTAACTTTGTCACAGGTGATTTGTGTCTTGGGATATCTCGATCAGGTTCGTCAGTCGTATGACTTCTATCTAAAGGTAACATATAATGAGGAACTTCTCCAGTTTCATGTCTAACATTCGAAGAACAAGATCTTAAGCTTTCTCTATCAGGAGATTTAGGCCTTGGAACATGATTGTTAGGTTTGTGCAAAGGTGACATATAGTGTGGAACATCGCCATGTTCTGTCTTCATAACAGGTGACTTATGTCTTGGAATATCTCGATCAGGTTCACTAGTCATATGGCTTCTATCTAAAGGTAACATATAATGAGGAACTTCTCCAGTTTTATGTTTAACATTCGGAGAACATGATCTTAAGCTTTCTCTATCAGGAGATTTAGATCTAGATGTGTGTGTCTTGGGTCTCTCTAATGGCAACATGTAGTGGGGAATACCACCAGATTCACTTCCATCAGGCGATCTTGATCTTAAAGTCTTTCTTTCAGGAGATTCAGATTTGGGTTTGGTAGGTCTATCTAAAGGTAACATATAATGAGGTACATCTCCTGTTGGTTTATCAGGTGAATTAGATCTAGACTTTGTAGTTCTAGACTGTTGTAAGTCATCATCACTGGAATAACTAAGTTTTCTAACGACAGTTTCTTTCTTAGTAGAAATTGGGGATTTGTTATTGACCCTTTCTGCTTCTTTGTTGATGTTTTCAAAGAGAGCTCTAGCTTTCTTAATACTTTCTGTACTCCTAAGACGACCAGTAGTACTCAGAATATTCTTTTTGTCCTCCACTGGTTTACTTTTGCTACTCTTTGGAGTAGTACTGACTTCTTTGGTCGTAGATTTTATTTCTTGGGTTTTTATGGATTTGATTGACGTATATTCATTTGGTGGACGCCTATTGGGTGTTCCAGGATGACTGGGGGTAGTTTTTGTGGGGGATAAACGATCTGGAGATAATCTTTCACTTGGTTTGTTTCTTGTATCATCAGGAGGTATGCCTCTATCTGAAGGTCGTTTGGCACGTGTTGGTGATACTCGTTCAGGGGATTTTCTTCGAATATCTTCTGTGTTTTTAATACTGGTTTGAATTTCAAGATTTTCTAAAGATACTCGTTTAGTTATAGTACTATAATTAGGATAGTTTTGATCAACAAGCTCAGGACGTGTTTTCTGGCTTTCTCTAACTGGAGATTTATTAGTTTTCTTTTCCACAGGTTTTTCAGCTCTATGAACAGATTTAGGTTCTTTTTTAATATCAGTGGGCGAAGATTTTCTATAGTTATCGACAGTATTTAAATTTTCTAAAGATACTTTTCGAGTCTCTGTAGTCACGTTTTCTTTCTGAATTGTTTTTTGTTCCGTAGTAATAAAGTTATTAGAAGAAATTTTATCATTATTAAACTTACACCTTGGACTTTTTGGTCGTTCTGGCAAATCCCGAACATTCATAAATTGATCAGCAGTGTTTATGAACTTGTTAACCTTTTCCGACACGCTTAAAAGACACTCATCTGACTCCAGATCTTGTGTTACTTCCAATTTGGGTCTTTCTACTTTAGGGGCTGGACCAGACGGGCTTTTACCACCTTTGGTGAGTTTATCAGCTGTGTCTAAGAACAAATTTATCTTTCTATTAACGCTCAAGAGACTCTCGTCCGTTGTTTCTACCTTATCGATATCAGTAACTACTTTAGTATCTGAGATTTCTGTAATTCTGCTAAAGTTTGTAACGTCTTCTGATTCCAATAAAGGTATGTCGGAAAGTCTCTTTGGTGGTTTTCTAACGTTAACATCATCCGGCTCTTCAATTTCGTCAGGATATCTTGGTGATCCATAGCCTCCGTATTCTGTGGGCACTGGACATATTTTATCTGGAGTTGGTTCTCTCGAAGACTTTGAACGTTGTAGGTCTACCACTATTTGCCTCGGTTGTGTATTGTTGTTTATGATAACGGTTTTTGTTATTATACATTTCTCTGGTTGTCTTTTAGTGCCATTTCTTCTCGTTACATCGACAGTTTCTACTATTGTTTCTTCTTCATCAGTATCAGTCGATACATATTCATTTACACGCTTCTGTTTCAAATCAATAACCCTGTTCTTTTGTGTCTTTGTAACCGTTGTAGTTGTTTTTGACACTTTTGGTTTCGTAGTTACTGGTTGAGTGTTACTCTTAAGTGTTATTGTAGTGGTAACCAGATGCTTTTTCGTTGTATGATCGGGATGCGCTGGTTTAGTTAAAGGCTTTACAGGGCCTTTGCTTGGTAATGGTTTTCTTAACTTTGTTGGTTCAGATGGTTCATTTTCTCTGAGATTAATGGTTTTTGTAGTCTTCTTTGTTGTTATTGTTTCTACATTAGGCTGTTTTGGTACCCTCATTGTATTACAACCACAGTAGAAGACTTGAAAGTGTCTTGTGTTGTTTTGTGTTTTTCTGGCTTATGAAATCCATTAACCTGAACCTTTGTAGCAGGTCTAGTTGGTATAGAATTTATTTTATTTGACGGTTTAAACACTGTTGTGGGTTCTGTGGTCTTAGGTTTAGTAGGAATTGATTTTGGTTTAAGATTAGTAGAATATTGATCTTGATATTCAGTTATACCATTGATCGGTTTTCTTGTACTAGGTTTATCGAATTTCTTCTCAGGTTGTTTTTGTGGTTTCTTGGCTGTGGTAGTAATTTGTGTTTTATGTACAGGAGTTTCCTTTTCTGGTTTAACAGGTCTTCTCTGTATATTTATGTTTTCATTGATTTCTTTTTGTTCTTTTTCGATAAATTTTTTAGTAATTTTCTCTGCGTGCCTAATTTCATCAGGACAGCTTGTGTCTATATGTTTTTTGATCATCAATGGTTCCTCAACAGGTACCATATTCGCATAATCGATAGGTTCAAAGAATTTTTCTGTAGCAACAGGTTCTTTGTTGGTAGGTTTCTTAACTTTGGATGGTTTTTCCTTTGTAGGGGTAATATTTTCTTTAGAGATATTTTTAGTAATGTGTTTTCTAGTTTGCTGAGGGATTTCCTGCTTTGGTTTTTGTTTTGGAATATTAACAATTTCAAATTCATCGGTAACTATAACTTCTTGAATATAATCCACATCGTCTTCTTCATTTTCTGTTGTTTTATGAACAGCATGTTGTTTAGGTAATTTTTTAGGTTTTTCATCCTTGGGAATCGGTCTACCAATGGTAACTTTTGGAACATCAGAATCATCTACTACTATAAATTCATCAATAATGGTTTCTTCTTCATCAGTAACTTTATCTTTGCTAGTTTTAATATTATTTTCTTTCTCTGTTGTCTTTACTGTTTTATTATTTGATAATGTAGGCTTTAAAGGTATTTCTTGTGTATCTGGACCCTGTTTGGTTGGTTTTTTATCTTCAGGAGAAGGCTTCGTTGATTTTTTTGTTACTTCTTCTACGGATATATCTTCAGTTATTGATGTACTAGTTTTAGTAGTGGTTTTTGGTTCTTTGCGAATCTGAGAGGGGAATTCGGTTATTGGTGTCTTTTTTGTTGGTTCTTTTTTTTCACCAGGTTTTGTTTTTGTTTCCGTGGTGATGATTTCCTTAGTTGTAATATTTATAGTATTATCTTTAGGTTTCGTTTGGATTGTGCTGGATATTCAGTATGTTCTTTCTTTATTTGTTTTCATCTGTAGTTGTTGGCTTTGAAGGTTTGTGTTCTAAAGTTTTATTATCAACAATTTCTTCCACATTAAGATCATTTTCAGTATATATTGTTGATGTAACTTGTTTGCCTGATGGTGTACTTTGAGGACGGGTCTCTTTAACTTTTGGTGTCTTTTTGGCGGGTATTTGTCGGTCTGTTTCATCTATTAAAACTTCAGTACTCGAGTTTATTTCTGTGCTTAATTTTTCCTGCATTATAAATTCTGTTGTGGTCGTTTTGTGTTTATCAGTTGTGGTCTTTGGTCTTTCTTTCATATATGGACCTTTATTGGACGGTCTATTGTTATCATAAATAGTTGTTTCTTCAGTAATAACTTCATCGTCTTCTTCTCTTGTATAATTCGTTTTAGACTGAGTTACATTCTTAGGCGTATGTTTTTGTGGCTTTCTTTGAGATGGAAATTCAGTAATGCTACGTCCGCTCTTTTTAGGACTATCATCAACTGTTTCGTTTATAGGTCTCATGGTAACGATTTCTACCTCTTGTTGTGTGATGTCGTCTGTCACGTTTTTAATATCTTTTCTAGAAATGTTTTCTTGCGAGGTTTTGGAAAAAATAGTTTGGTCTATTTGGTCAACAGTTGTCTGCGGATGTTTCTTTTGATTTGGTTTCGTTGGTTGTTGATGTGGCGTTTTATATTCGTCATCAGTTATTATAATTTGTTCCTTATTATAAACGTCAACTTGTTCTGTAATTTTTTGGACATTCGTAGTATGTTCCTTGTCATGGTATTTATTTGGACTCTTTTCATGAGGCGTCTTTCGGATTGGTTCAGCTTTTTCCCCTTTAGTTGGACTTTGTGGCCCCTTTTCAGGGATATCGGTGTTACTTGTTATAACAGTGGTTTCTGTTTCAGTGGTTGACACGATGTCTAAGGTTTCATTATTTCTTGAAAATGGTTTTTCCTTTACAGGACTTTTAGGTTTTCCTTTAGTAGGTCTAATGCTTTCAGCGATTTCAGTTATGTCTTTTACTGGACTTTTTATAGGGCTGTATGTCCCTTGTGTATGAATAATCTCAGTTGTGTCCACTGTTTTCGTAGTTGTACCAATATCAGTTGGTTCATAACATGGTTTTTCTCTAACTGGATTTCTAGGTTCACCTCCAGTAGCTTTAGTTATTTCAGTTGTGTCTACTATATTGGTCGTTGTAGTAATATCGGTGGTTTCATAATCTCTGGAAATAGGTCTTTCTTTCACTGGACTTCTAGGTTTACCTTCAGTTGGCCTCGTGATTTCGGCTGTATCCACTATTGTGGTTGTTGAAACTATGTCATCTTTTGAATGTGGCCTGTCTTTTACTGGACTTTTTGTTGGTCTAGGTTTTTGTTCTCTATTCGTGTCCTCTATTTTGGTTGTTGTAACAATATCGGTAATTTCATAATCTGTTGAAAGAGGTCTATCTCTCAATGGACTTCTTGGTTTACCTTCAATAGGTCTAGTGATTTCAGTTGTATCCACAATTGTGTTTACTGAATCTGTGTAAGTAGTTTCAAAATCTTTTGAACGTGGTCTTTCTTTTACTGGACTACTTTTTGGTCTAGGTTTTCCTCCAGTAGGACTAGATATTTTATTTGTGTCTAAGGTTTTGGTCGTTGTGACAATATTAGTTGTTTCATAATCTCTTGAACGTGGTCTTTCTTTCGTTGGACTTCTAGGTTTATCATCAGTAGGCCTAGTTATTTTGTTTGTGTCCACGGTTTTTGTCTTTGTGACAATATCAGTTGTATCATAATCTCTTGAGCGTGGTCTTTCTTTCATTGGACTTCTAGGTTTATCATCAGTAGGCCTAGTTATTTTATGTGTATTTACTGTTTTGGTTGTTGAAACAGTATCTATTGTTTCATATTCTCTGGATAGTGGTCTTTCTCTTACTGGACTCTTTGATGGACTTCGAGGTTTTTCGTCAATACGTGTAGTAATATCAGTTGTGTCTGTTATTTTTCTAGTTGAAACAATATCAGTGGTTTCATAGTCTTTGGACCGCGGTCTCTCCTTCACCGGACTTTTGGTTGGACTTCTAGGTTTCTCTTTAGTAGGACTAGTGCTCCCAGTTGTGTCCACACTATTCGTTGAAGTATTTCTTCTGAAAGAACTTCTTTTACTTGGTGATCTCTCCAAACTACTTTTTCTTTTGTCAGTCACTTCTGTTATGCCGAGAATTTGCCGACACCGTTCTTCATATGTATCGGTTCTTTTTAAAGGACGATCCTCTGGAAGGTTTCTTGTTGGAGATTTTGACAGATTATCTTTTGGAGCTTTGTAACTCTCGGTTGGATATTTTGTAGGTGAATGATCTTTAGTAGGCGATTTGAAGCTGCTAGTTCTTCTAAGATCCTTTGTAGGTGATTTCTTAGGGGATCCTAAGTCTGATAAAGGAGAAGATGGCGAACGGTCAGTAATTTTTTTAGATTTCTTAGAAAGCTCTAAGGTATTGGGTCTAGAACCAGTTTTCTGCTTTTCTGTGGTTATCGTTACATCTTCGTCCAAGTCAGTTACAATTTCATACATTTCTCTTTTACGATCAGAAGGTTTTGTAGGAGAGGGAGACCTTGATCTTGGTAGAGAATGTTGACTTGTTCTTTTAATGTCTTTCTTTTTAGTTGTAGTGTTAGTAACATCATGTCTTGACGTTTTAGAAATTGTGATTGTTTCCTGACTTTCTGTCTTTCTGAATGTATCGGTACTACCGTATCTTTTTGGAGAAGGTGACTTTGTTTTCGGTTCTTCATCAGTAGTTCTTCTTTTATTATAAATATAAGTGTCGGTACTAGAAAATCTATCGTTGCTTTTTGTAGGACTTCCACCTCTATTTCTATGAGTACGTTCTGGAGATATTCTCGAGGGATGTCTCATTTTTTCAGGTATTGAAGAATTACTAGTTTTGTGGCTACCTCTACTAGGCACTCGATCAGGTGAGACAGCTCTTAAAGACCTTGCAAATGCATCATGGGTGGGACTAACTTCTACACTTATTTTCCTGTTGGTATAGTCAGTTCTATAAGTCGTTTCGTACTGTCCATCCGTTGGCTTACTAGGTTGATAGTCAGTTTTTGTTGGTTTGGTGGGACTTATATCTCTATGGGTACTTGGAGTACTTTTAGGGGATTCTTGCGGGTACTTGTCCCGTGTTAAAACTTCTTGTTTGCGTTCTGTGTTTATAAAATTGTCAGTTTTTAATTTCTTCTGTTTTATTTTGGTGATTTATTACAATATTTTCGCACACTTTGGGTTCCGTTGGATGTTTGGTGGGTACTCTATGTGAAATATCTCTATCGTCGGTGCTTATTCTGGTTATATTTATGTTTTCGTTAACATTAACTACTTTGGTACTGTCTTCAACAAAATTTTTCCTGTTGTTCTCTTGGGTACTGGTAACATTAGTCCTTATTACGTCTTTATTATCTATTACTTTGTTGTTTACTGAGTGTGTCTTTTCAGTTTTGTAATTTTGCTGGTTATCTGTACTTTCTTCAAATCTTTTAGTAGATTTATTGGTCACTGAGCTATGCTCTTTGGAAATTTTCCCACTTCCTGTAACTTCGGTATGTGTAGTAGTACCACTAACTGTATGGTACTTTGTTGTTGTCATGATAGAACCATCTGGTAATGTTTTTGTTTCTTTAGTTATCTTGGTTACTCCTTGAAGATTGTCTGGTATTTGAGGTGGATTTTGAACAGACCCTTTTATATCAGTAACTTGATTTGTTACAGATGTTTTGGTGTAAGTTTCGGGAATAATTTTAGATTCTCTAACTGTTTTGGTACTGATGTTATCGTTGTTTTGTGTTGAGATGTTTAAAGTTGCTTGTTGTTCGCCTGTTATATGACTTGTTGATGAAGTTTGGGCAGTTTTAATATGTCCTGTTTGGATGTTGTCACTGGTAGTGTTGTATCTGGTGGAAATAACAGTTGAACCATCTGGTAGGGTTTTAGTCTCTCTTGTGACTTTAGTAATACCTTGCAGATTACTAGGTACAGCTACTTCTTTGTTATCTACATAAACAATATTTTCTGACGTTTTTTCGTTCACCTGGCGGCTGGAAGAAGATGCTTGTGAAGTCCGTACATGAGCAGATTGGTTACTGGTGTGAGTAGAACCACTCGTAGTATCGTACCTGGTTGTGGTAACTGTAGAACCATCTGGTAACGTTTTAGTTTCACGTATCACTTTAGTAGCCCCTTGAAGATTACTTGGTAACTCGATTTGTTCTGAAGGCACTGTATTGGACGCAACCATACGAGAAGCAGTCGAGCTATGGCTGCTACTTTGGCTTCTTGTGGTTACCGAGTTTTCATCGGCGTTGTGATAGATGCTAGAAGTATTTTCGTTCTTGCCTTGGAAATCTATTTGGCCGCCATCTATCTTTTGGGTGCCTTGTACCGATGCTACTGTAGAGTGAATTCTAGTTTTACCATCTTTGCTAATTTCTTTGTTCGATGCAATCTGCCATTCATTTGAATCTATCAACAGAAAAAGTAAGATACATATAAAACTTTAAAATGAAGGAAAATTGTACGAATAAATTTAACCCAATAAAAGAAAATTTCTAAGATTCGCTTTAAGGTTTATATTACAGATACATACGACAGGGGTCCGATAAGTTCTTAGTCTTACTGTCCGATGGCGCAACAATCGCAAGATCAATTTACTATCATGTAGTAAATTCTCGTAGACAGCTAATGTTATCATTTTAGCCGAATCGGACTCGCAGTTTTGTTTTAGTCGCGTGTGATAGTGGACGTTTAAGCGGAGTTCAGAAAAATAGAAAACACTATCTTTTTTTTCTTGAGATTATTTGTTTGAAAGGGAAATTGCGTAGTGAAACCAAAGTGCGCTTAACTGCTGTGTACGGTGACTCTTCTCCTTCGATTGCAACTGTCAAAAAATGGTTTTATGAGTTTCAGCATGGTTGCACGTCAGTTTTTGATAAACCTCTCCCAGATACCCTAAAAACGGTTATCATGGAGGATAATTTGACAAAAATCCATAATCTCGCATTGGCAGATCGCCGATTAAAGGTGCGCAATATAGTTGAGACAGAAGGCATCTCGTGGATCATATCCCGTATAAAATTGTGGGCATAAGAAAGCTATTAGTGCAATGAGTGCCGCTGTTAAAGGACAATCCGAAAAACTTTCTTACATCATTTTGTAACTGTCGATTAAACATACTATGAATACAATGAAGGCAAAGACTATCCTGTCGGCCGGAAAGGTGATAACCACCGTTTTCTAGGATACAGAAGGATGTGATCTACAACGACTACTTAGAGAAGAGCAACACAGTCACAAGGTTATGCCACATTGTTGGGCCGACTCGAGCCCATTTGGTCAAGAAAAAGTGTTTTCCATCATGAAAACGCACCGGCTCATATTTCCAGCGTTGCCACGTCCAAATTAGTCGAATTTTGCTACAAACTACTGCCCTAGCCACGGTATTTTCCAGATTTGGACCGTTCGACTTCTTTTTGTTTCCAAAGTCACTAGCCAAGCAGAAATTTATGGAGGTCTACTTTGTAGACTTCGTGAAAACGTATTTTTCAGATGGCTTAAAAAAATTAGAGCACCGCTAGATCAAGTGTATTCAGTTTTTCTTTTGTAGGCTAAGTACTTATCAGACTGCGCCAATGTAGGAAAATATTTACTTAAAAATATATGATTGCTTAAAAAACATACAGAGTTTTTAATGATATTATTGTGACTTACCTGGTACTTTGTAATGTATATCCCTAGTCGGTGATCCTGAATCTCGGACTTCTTTGCTCTTAAAGCTCTGAAAGCTTTGATCGACAAGTGAATCGGCGTGAGTAGAACTTTGCGTCACTTTTCCTGTAGTTTTCGACGATCTAGATTCTGTAATCTCGCTGCCGTTATAAAACTCTCTCAATCTTTGTTCACGTAGTTTATACATGTGAGATCTTATTTCCTTTTTCTTTCCGAAATCTTCAGTATCTTGCCACTAAAAATTAAAATTAAATGGTAAACTTGGTCTACGGTAACCAGGCACTCAAATAATTTTAAAAAAACAATATTGACTACTACTATTTGACAAATTATGCCGCAAAGAAAGTATTTACTAAGGACGAAGAGTCTTGTTGCTTATATTAAAAAAAGTGTAAAAATGCGGTATGGATTAACCAAAAAAGCTAATGAGAAAAAAATACCCGACACTTGGAATAAGGAAGAGGCATACACAAGAACTATCAATCCGCAAGCCAGAGTATGAGCTTAAGTCGCAAAACTAGTTTCAACAGAACGAATATTGGACAACATTTTTTACAAATTTAAAACAGGTACACAGAAATAATGATCCAGATAAAATTTAGAATCTTAATGAAACAAGCTTGAGCATAGTTCAAAGATAATCAAGAATAGTTACGTCCAAGGTTGTTGAACAAATCTTCTTCTTAAGGTGCTTTCTCCATTACTGAAGGTTGGCTATAACTACAGCAAATTTCTCTCTATCTTGAGCTGTTCTTAGTATCGAATGTGTGTCCATACCTGTCCAGTCACTTACATTCTTCAACCAGGAGCATTTTCTTCTTCCTGGGCCTCTTCTTCCTTTCACTTTCCCTTCCATTATAAGTCGTAGGAAGTTGTATCTCTCTCCTCTGTAAATATGTCCCAGATAACTCGTTTTCCTGTTTTTTACAATATTTAGGAGTTCTCTTTCAGTAATCCATTCTCCTCAGCACCTCGTTGTTGGCCACGTGCTCTGTCCCAAGAGATCCTTCAGGCATCCTACGAAAACCCCACATCTTAAAGACTTCTATAACGCCTCATACTTGTAAATTACCGAGAGTGTATGTTTTCCACTCCGTATTCTTCTTAAGAGTGCCGTCTCCCTACGGAGGTTGGCAATCATAATGGCTATTTTTATTTTAGAACTTGCTGCTCTAAAACAAATCAATCGATCTGCATTGGTACCAAATCACGTAGATTCATTAACCATGAGTTCTGCCTTCGGCCAACAGATCTTCCTTGAATCTTTCCCTGTATTATCAGTCCTCAAAATTTTCATATTTTGATCCCCTCATCACGTGGCCTAGGTATTCCAGTTTTCTGGTTTTGTATAGTGGTGATTAGTTCTGTTTCTTTACCAACCCTCTCCAGTAATTCTTTATTTGTAATTCTATCAGTCCATGATATTTTCAATACTCTGCGGTAATAACCAGAGTTCGAAGGCCTCGATTCTTTTTAAATTACATTTTTTTAATGTCCAAAGTCTCAGCTCCATATAATAATATTGAAAATATATAAACAGCGAATGGTACGTAGTCTGATCTCCAAATTTAGATTTTTGCACGTTAGGAGTGGCTTCATTCGTATAAATGCTGATCTGGCAATCTCTATTCGTCTGTTTATTTCTACAGTATGATCATTGGTTTCATTGATCAAAGTTTCCCAAATACTGATAATTTTTCTACTTGTTCTATCACGTTACCATTTATTGTCAATAGGTGATGTATATTTTGTAGCCTTTTTGTAATCAGCATGTACTTCGTTTTTTTAGCGTTTATAGTAATCCCCATTCCCACTCCGTATAGCAATATGGAATAAATAAACGTTTTTACAAATTGGTATCGGATATCCAACGATAACGTAGAGTTTATTAGGAATTTTTTCATTCGTTGAAATGCGGACCTAGCATATTCTATACGAGCACGTATTTCGACCTCGTGGTCAAGATCGTTTGTTATCCAGCAACCAAGATACTGGAATCTTTGTACTGGTTCTATATGTTTGTTATAGATACGAATATTAATGTCGACATTTGGTGCACGTGTAACAGCCATTACTTTTGTTTTATTTGTGTTTATATTTAGTCCCAAGCTATCTCCCTCTCTGGTTATGAAATTCAAAAGTCGTTGTAAACCCTCAGCACTGTCCGCAATAATGACGGTGTCGTCTGCGTATCTTAAGTTGTTTACGTATTCTCCGTTGATTTTTATTCCTTCTTCAATATTTTCGAGGGCATTTTGAAAGATCTTTTCGGAATATATATTAAATAACAGTGGAGAAAGTACACAGCCCTGACGAACTCCTCTTTTTATTGGCAATTCTGCTGTCAGACGATTGTCTATTTTGATCGACGCCATTTGATCCCAATATAGTTTTTTAATAAGTGCTACAGTGTTATGGTCTATACCATGTTGTGTTAGGGTTTCTATGAGTTCTGTGTGTTTTACTCTATCAAACGCTTTTTCGTAGTCGATAAAACAGAGAAACACGTCTTTTCGCTGATCTCGGCATTTTTGTAATAATATCTGGAGGCCAAATAATGCCTCCCTTGTACCAAGCCCCATACGAAATCCAAATTGATTGTCGCTCAGGTTTCTTTCGCATTCTCTGTATATTCGTTGATGTACAATTTTGAGTAAAATTTTCAGAAAATGGCTCATCAGGCTAATTAATCTGAACTGTGAGCATCTATTTGCTTTATTTTTCTTGGGTATAGGTATAAATGTCGATCTAAGCCAGTCTTCTGGGAAGATTCCAGTGGTATATATTTTGTTAAATAATATTGTTAACGTCTGAAGATTTTCTTCATTGATAAGCTTTATCATCTCTACGTATATTTCATCTGGACCTGAGGCTTTTCGTGGCTTTGCCGTATTGATTGTTTTTGTAACTTCCGATGTTAATATATCAAGTATTGTTTCTTGTACTATATTCATTTGTGGTTCTGTTCTCTCGTCATTAAACAGATCTTCGATGTATTTTTCCCACATATTTCCTACATTTTCTGGACTAGATACTATTTCGTTGTTATCATCTACTAAAGTTGTAGTGATTTTTTTCTTCATATTTGTGACTTCCTTAATCTTTTGTACGCATTAAAGTAGTCATGCTTTTTTAGTAAATCTCCCAGTTCCTCACACTTGCTGCTCATCCATTCTTCTTTGGCTTTCCTAATTTTGTTTCGGATGATTCTCTGGGTTTCTTTATATTTTTCTTCATTGCGATTTTTGTAAGATCTCCTTATGTCCATCAGTTCTAGGACTTCTTCTGTCATCCATGTATTCTTTGTTTTTCTGATGTTGTCTGTAGTTGTTCTCTTTGTATAGTTGTGATTGTTGTTTTGAAGGTGTGCCAAATACTTTCTATTGTTTCTTCTGCTTCCGCGGGTGCTTCACTGAACTTTTCTTTGAGTGTATCATTGAGTGTTTTCTCTATTTCTGCCTGTACTATTGGATCTTTAAGTTTTTGAGGCTAGGTTTTATCTTCTCTCTGTATTTGATTTTCTTTAGTTTAATTGAAATTTTACGAACAACAGGATTGTGGTCGGAACCGATGTCCGCCCCAGGATATGTTTTAACTCCCCTGTTTCCATTTCTATAACGTTTGTCAATTAATATATAATCAATCTGGTTTCTTATTATGCATTTTTGATTATCGCGTTAAACAAATAGGTAGTGCTATATCAGCAGAACGAGGATGCTTAGTCACGGTTATTACTGCGGTAAATGCAATTAATAATTCATTACCTCCCATAATATTTCCACAGGCTCATTTTAAAGAAAGAATGTTGTTTGGTAGACCGGTAGGATGCATCAGCACTGCAAATCAAATGGGTTAGTAAAACGAAGAGTACCTCTTGAAGTTTTGGGGCCATTTTATGAATGCCGTCACAAACTCAAAAGACGAGCGTTTACTATTAATACTTACATAAGGCACATTTTTTTACTCCTCATACATTATACAGGCTACAACCTTTGAATCTGTCAGGCTATGATCCATTGAAAACATATTACAATTAATAACAAGGAAAAACCTTTGACATTTACAGTGTAGCTGAGGTTTTAGGTACTGCTTACCCAAAAACTTTCACTCCTAACAGCATATTATCTGGTTTCCGTAAGTCAGGAATTTTTCCTTTAAATGCGGAAATTTGCACTGATGATGATTATTTATGTTCTTACGTGACTGATAGGCCCTCCGATGCTTCTAGACCTGTCAGTTCTATTTCGTTAAATACTTTTTCTTCAACTTCTTCAGAAGATTGTCATTGACTTCTCTAGAACCTCTGCCTTCAACTTTCCCAACTCCGTGATCTTTGACTGCTTTAGAGCTTGCATCATGGTCTTCAGTTCCTAAGACATCAACAGTTCTTTAACCTGCTACGTCCTCATCTACAAATCCTTTTGCATCACCAATGGATACCAAGGAAAAACTGAACCTAAGCCCCGAAGAAGTACAAGCTTATCCCAAGACCGATGAGTGTAAGAGGAAGAACCATGATTGTCACTGAAACATCAGAGAAGAATGCAATCAAAGAACAAAAATCAAAGAAAGAAAAGTCAAAGAAGGATAACTATACAATCTAAAAAGTAACATGAATTCTAGGGATTTGTTTGAATTATTCGACGGAGAAAAGAGAGCATGAAGAAAAACAAACAAAAAAAGTAAAAAGGTTTCAAGAAGCTCCCAGTAACTGATTTGATTCTTAAGATTTATCCATGGTATCAACGGATAATAATAACAGTCTTGGTAAAGAATAATAATGATTGCATTGATGTTCTTTAAAATTTAGTGACAAGAGTGGGGGACAGTGGTGTAAGTGCATTTGTTGTGGTCGCTGGGTAGATTTTTTATGTGTGGGTGTAGAAAAAAAAATGATGGAAACGCTACATATTTGCATCAATAGATCAAATAAACAAATATCTTATTACAAATAAAAGTTTGTAATAAAAACATGTTTTAAAGAATCAAAATATTCTTGAAACTATGTGCATTTTTTATAAGTAACCTTTGATTTCCCAATTCAAGGTACAAGATGCATGCCTCAAGATACACGAGCATCGTGTACCAAGGACCATTTTACACAAAATTTATTTTTTAAGCTTTTTTTGAATACTTATATCAAATAAATTTCTCGCAAACTATGCAAGAAGGTTCAAATTATAACCATTCAAAGTTCTGAAGACTAGTAAAAACTACGAAAGAAAAAATTTAACGCAAAAAGTTGCCCAAAATACAACAGTCTCCCCTTTATAACGTGATCCCCAAATTAAACCACAATTTTTTGTGGTAATAAAAGTGTTTTGTTAAAAATATACAGTAATATCTACAAAGTCAATTAGTAATATTTACATTGTGTAAATTAGTGCAATCATTTAACGAAAAATAACAAATTAATCAACACCAACAGTTACTGGAAAAGTTATAAAACGGTTCAAAAGTTCAAATTGTTGTCAGTGTCATAGTTTATTTTAGTTTTAGGATTGCGATTTTCGTTAACCTTAATTTGGAGTCTTCACGATTATATATATATATATATATATATATATATATATATATATATATATATATATAATATATATATATATATATATATATATATATATATTTCCACCTTGTAATTTTATTGTATACTTGAAATCTGCCTTCTATGATATATTTTTTTACCATTCATCTTTGTTGACAATATTTTGATATTTGACTTGTCTTATAATCTGTTTATGTTGTTAATTACAGTAGTGCAAAAGACAATTATTTTTAAAGCCTCGTGACTGAACCTAGATTTAAATTTTTATTCATGAGCAAGTCTCTAGATCAGACAATAATTTTCCCAGCAAATAGACGCAATAGATATTATCAAATGTAAGCTACGTCCTTGTGAAGCGCACTACTGCTTAAACCCGTGATAGTTTTTGTACCAAACATACAGCACATACATCTTACGCCCGTAATAGCGTAACGTCTACTTAAAAGGAGTAGACCGAAAGCGACTGAGGAGGCCAAACAGGCCGAACACTCCGCATATAGGCCTCTTTAGCCACAATATACATATACATCGCATATACATCAATAGGGAGTATTGGATTTTTTTATAATTAAATTAGACCGAATCTTACCATTTTACGAAGAACATCCTCGTCTTGAATGTGGGAGATGTTGGTGGTTTCGGCCGACATGGCCTTATCTTTTCACCTGTAAAGAAAAAAAAGTTTTTAATAACGTAGAACACAGTCAATGTAACGAAAAATTTAAAAAAATGTTTATTCCTAATTCTTTGTATAAATATCTTAAGGTTGTTTTATAATCTTTGTCAAAAGTCATTAAAAAAAGTGGTACAGTAGGTGGTACCGTCAACTAGCGCGAAGCTTCATACTATATTTTTTGTATTTTTAAAATTGAATACAGTAATTTTATTTATTTATAGATTTTAAAATTAAAAAAGTTTACGTGTTGTACATATAACGAACACTTTTCTTCACGTAAATGGACTCTTTCAACTGTTTACTGTGACTGCGCACCAGGAACCGCTATTTTATTTCATGGCGCTACTTCCGTGATTCTCGCTTCAGCATTTTAATGTAGAGAAAAAGTACCACAACGTCAGTGTAGAAGCTTCGCTTTAAAAACATGTATAGTATAGAGGGAGATTTGCAAATTATACACGTGATGTTTATCCATTATGTTAGGACAGAATTGACTACGGCATATTCAGATCTTGCTTTTGGCTTTCATTTGTTTCTTTTGCTTGATCTTCATCTCTAGATAGTCACCTTTTCAGTGTGGTATCCATCTCTTTTTTAAAATACTTATGTCATTTTCTAAATCTTCAACTGTGTGGGTCCACAAATGGATTAAATCTTAGGGTGGCATCTTGGTAGGTACACATGTTTAAATGCCTGAACAATTGATAGTCTATTTACGCTCTCTTTGAAACTCTGCCACTGGTATGCCAATGTGATAGACGTGTGTAAAACAGTAAAACAGGGGGTAGTGTTCATCGTGATGTCAAGTATTATCCTTATTTAAAGATATTTGTGTCTGGTCATTTCTTTTAACTCATGCATGGGTCTTCTGACTTTTAGCTCATTTAAAATTGAAATGTTTGTCCTGTGGTCGGTCCAAGAAATTGGTAACATTCTTCTCCAACAGAACATTTCTGTGGTGTCTATCTTTCTTCCGCTTATCGTAAGGTCCAAAACTCACATCCATATATCAGTATTGGGAATATTAAGCAGTTGATCAATCTCAATTTTAGAGCTCGTAACATTTGAGAGTCCTTCAATATTTTGGCCATGTTCCCTACGGCGACTTTTGCTAGATCACATCTACGTTCTATTTCTTTCTGTAGTGACCCTGTGTTTGCGATCAATGATCGGATAGAGATGCTTTGAGACAGACATTCTCTCCCCTGTTGCCGACCAGAATTTTGCTTTGACTAAAATTTTTTAAAATAATTTTAAACTGTTTGCTCTTGTTTAGTGTAGTGTTATGTACAATTTTATGTTTAATTTTATGTTTATGACATTCTGCGTTTGTTGGATAGCCCAAAATTGATGAAATGTCCCTGAAGATGCTCAGGAAGTGAAAGTACTTGGACAAGATTTAATTAATAAAACTGTGCTCGATATCTGCCTTTCATTTTATCAAAGTTCATTTATTCGAGCATTCAACCTTATATCTATTGGTATTATGTCTATAATAGTTGAAGCGGCTTTTAGTATAAAACTGAATAAATTTTTGTGAAATTTACAGCAAAAGAACAATTAGTAATAATTTATTTAAAGGCAAAAGGGCTATTGGGAAAAGATAGGTTTATTTATTATATTTCATAATATATCTACCGAAGATGGAAAAAGGAAGAAGCAGATTAATCAGGATGAATTAAAAGAACAAAATAATAATTCTTTCATAAAAGTAAAGTTATTTAAAATATGTAATTTAAGAAATAAAAATTAAGAGAAAATAAGGGAAAGATTAATCTCCTGTAAAGCGGAAAATGAAAAAAAGTGGTACAGAAGGCGGTATTGTAGACTTTTACACTATTTTTTGTATTTTTTAAATTTAAATAATAATTTGAAAATTGAATAAAGTAATTTTATTTCTTATTTATTATTTTATAAATTTTTTTAGACTCCCTCGTCGCGTTAATGGACTCTTCCAACTCTACTGTGACTGTTTTGTATTTGTAAAAAGCCATATTTAACACGTGCTGATTTAGAATACAATAATCGAATAATACATAAGAAAGGAAACAGGAAAAATGTGAAAACTACAGAGGAATTAGTATAATATCGTCGGTAGGTAGACTTTACGGGAAAATTATCAAGGAAAAACTAGAAACTGAAATAATAGGAAAAATTGGAGAAGACCAAGCAGGGTTCACAGTAGGAAAATCATGCCTAGATCATACGTACACATTACAACAACTGATAGAGAAGAAAATGGCAAAAGGTAGACCGGTCCATCTGGCGTTTGTTAATCTAAAGAAAGCATACGACTCAATACCTAGAGTCAAATTATGGGAAGCAAAGAATGATCTCGGAATCCGACACTACTAAAAGCAGTTAAAGCACTGTACAAAGAAAACAAAGTAGCTATTAAATGTGGAAATAAAGCCTACAATCCATTTAAGACGACAAAAGGACTTCTACAAGGCTGTGCTACGTCCCCTACTCTGTTTAAAATATTTTTGGAAAAGACACTCAAACCATGAAGGAGAAAGTGCGAAGGAATGGGCATACCAGTAAGAGACGAATACCTATACACCTTAAGTTTTGCTGACGATTAAGTAGTCATCGCACAAGATGAAGAAGATCTCAGCTTTATGCTCAGAAAACTAGAAGAAGAATATAAAAACAACGGAATGGAAATAAACTTAGAGAAAACCGAATACCTAACAACAGAAAACAAGGATATGAGAAACCTAGAGATAGACGAGGGAAGACAAGTAAATGGAACAGATAAATTCAAGTATTTAGGAACCATAATATCGAACCAGGGAACAACAGAAGAAGATATAAACAACAGACTAAGACAAACAAGAAACTGTATAAGACAACTAAATTCAGTGCTGTGAATAATATCCTGACAAGAAGTATCCCGACATATGGGTCCGAAAACTGGACAATAAACAAGAGAAATAGAGGTTGAATAAGAGCAGTAGAAATGGAGTTCCTGATGAGAAGCTGTAGACTTACAAAAAGAGACAGAATTGAAAACGCAGAGATTAAGCGGAGAATGGGAGTGCAATCAGACATAATCGACTATATAGAGGAGAAGAGACTATCTTGGTACGGCCACGTCAGAAGAGCGGACATAGGACGCTGGATAAACAAAATTACAGAATGGAGCCCGATCGGAAGAAGAAAGAGAGGAAGACCCCGAAGGTCATTCAGAGACGAAATCGACCAGGCAGGAAAACAGTGAAAGCTGTGGAAATCCTTAGTAGTAGTAGTAGTAAAAGCATACTCCAGAACTGCTGTAAAGAGCTAGTTTTTCATGGAGTTACACACTCACTGTAGATTTTTTATTGTTGTTATAAATTAAGCGGGTGTATCTGTGATCCACTCGACAATGTAATAAAGCCCCGATTACTCCATTAGATTATATCCTATCGAACCTTTGAAAATCAACAAAAATTAGTATTAGTTTTCTCTATTAAGCTATATGGTTTCTTATTAGGTGGTATTATATCTCTATAGGTGACTATTTTGGCTAAAAAGTTTATACAAATGAGCACGTGCGTAGCAAGGAGGGTTTGGTGGTTAAACTCCTCCCGAAAAGTGAAGCTATTAACATTCTTAAAATTAAAATGAGGACATGCATACCGCATAATCCCATTCATCATCATCATCAAATTGCTACTGGGTTTGAGAAGTCTTGACCTTTCTGTGCCATTCTACTGTGACCCTTGCTTGCACTTTCTAGTTGTCTAGTCTATCCACCTCAGCTTTGGTCTGCTTATTCCCACCAGCTGCGCTGTTAAATTCTTGTTTATCATGTTCGATTTGGTGGCTCGGGCTACACGTCCTGCCCACTGCAGAAGTTTTCTTTTAATTATTGTGGTAATATATTTTCCATCAAACTTATATTTTTTGACATTCTACCGTTCAAAGTTATATGTAACACTGCCTGGGATGACTATCGTGTGGATCAAGTAGTTTGTTAGTTATTACAGCCGGTCCCGAGCCCGGATAAAAGTGGAGGGTTGATGGGCAAGGTTAGTAACCTACTGATCTTAAAAAAGAATCAGTGCTCAAAGAACCGGTCAACACAAATCGGAAACAAGACGGAGTCAAAGGATGACAAACACGGTGAGAAAAAGAACAACGTGAAAAGAAATTGAAATATTAAATTATGCACAAGAAGAGAACAAGAGATAATCATGGAAATGAATACCTACAAAATCGATATATGGCGAATATCAGAGAGAAGAAAAAAGGGAAGGAACTGTAAAATATCCAAATTACATATTTGTAAACAGCGGGAAAGAAAAAGCAGAAAATGCAAGCTTAGGAGTTGGAATACTCATTTACGAAAAATTTGAAAAAAGTATAGATGATGTACAATATATTAACCACACAATACTCAAACTGATACTCAAAATGGATCATAGTAAAATACATCAAGACCGAAGAAGAAACTGAAGCCTTCTACAATATATTATACGATATAATTATATATTCTACAATGTATTATACGATAGATGAATACAAATAATATACATAAAAAAGTCATAATATTAGGCGACTTAAACGCAAGAATAGGGAACGAAGTATTAGAAGGAATAAAACAACTTTCAACGAAGAGACAAAAAACGAAATGGAGAAGCACTAATTAATTTCTGCATCCAGAACACATTAAGAATAAATATATACGTTTACACATTCTTAATGACATAAATTAACTATAGATTATATAATAACGAGCAAACAAATACACTCAAAACAGGTATTAGATATCAGAACATTAACACTACCTAACGTAGGATCAAACTACATTATGGTTTTAGGGAAAATACCACTAAAGAAAAAATTACTCCCAAAATATATTATGTAAAATATAAATATCGAGACCTTCGAAAACGAAACAGCCATTTGATACAGCCATCTAGGCTATATCAAAGACTATCGAAAGAAAAATTTGAAAAAAAACTGCATATTAGCAGAAAATGGAAGTAGATCAAAAATATA